TGAGAAAAAGGGTGGCCGTCCCATATTATGCACGTCCTCGCAAGTTGTGCAGCACATGGAGCATTCCGTGTACATGTACAACTCTCGACCACCGTGCCATGGGTACATGTGCATGGTAAGTACATGTAAGGCAGGTGGGGAGGGGAGGGGGAGGGGGGGGGGGTCGATGGTCAGGTCCAGCCCACTAGAATCCCCACATTCGGTCGTAGCTCATGCCTGGGTCGTGGTACAGGTGCCACCACGGCGAATGCAAGCGCGACTGACCTCTGCTCAGGCGGGCCAAGCGGACAAGAGCGGGCAGGAGGTGGCTCCCAGGGCTCCCGGGCTATTCCACATAGGATCGCCCCTTGTGCTACTTTGCATCAATCTTTGGTGCATCTGCATCTGCATCTGCACGCTCAGGGGCACAGGCCCCAGCAGAGAGAGACCGTACCTCTGTCCAGGTACGGAAGTTAGGCTGCTTTCGCTTTTTCCCTTTTTCCCCCTGACCCAGTCAGGGCCCCAGATCAGGACCCCGGGACCCCAGCGATGCCACGGTCCTTCTACCTAGGTACTGTAGGTACCTTAGGTACATGTACGTAGGCACGCCAGGCAGGCCGAGCAGACCAACGAACGCAATGAGCACTGCAAGACGGAGGGGGAGTGTGGCCCAAGACTCAGAAGCTATCCGTCTGCTTGACCTCTTTTTTTTTGCACCCCCTCATCCCCCCTTTGTCTGACCTGCCACTCGACCTGGGAACAAAGTCGTTTACTGTTGCATTGCGTCTTCACCCAGCTCCCTATTCGTATTCTTTGGTGTTTCGTTGTCTTTGTCCCCCCCCCCCCCCCCCCTCCATTTCGCTGGCCCAGCGTCGCTCGACCACCTCTCTCGCTCTCCCTCGTCCATTTGGCGCAGCCAGCGCGAGCCAGCAGCAACCCTCTCTGCTTCGCCCCTCGCGTGCATTCCAGACGCCACACTCGCTTCGATAGCCCTCCAGCTGTCTCTCTGATCGGCCAAGGCCGCGAAGCTGTTGCTTCTTTCAACACCACTTGCAATCGATCTCGCACACCGACGGTTGTCGAATCGCCGCGACTGGACTGCTCGCCTGTCATGAGGTGCGACGCCTTCTGAAGCCCGTACTACAAGGTCCCCCTAGGTGGCTTATCGACAATACTCTGTCCCCTTTGCCCTCGTCGACGATACAATCCAGCAGCGGCCGCAACCGCCAACACACAATAGCGGCGGCTGGCTACACCACTGATCTGGGAGCGCACACGCCTAGAGTCACCGTCGCACAAATCCTGGTGGCGGTCGACCGGGTGTCACCAACCAAAATTGGTCCAACATCGACAGCTCCTACTCTCCGAACGACACCGAGATACCCCAGCCATCGCCGCGCCCCGAACCGGCCATGGCCACTTCTGCCGACCCCTATCGCCTCTCCTTCGGCGCCAACGATGCCCTTGATCTCAGTCTCAACCTGCCCATAGTCTTGCTTCCGCCTTCTTCAGGCGCGCCTCGCGACCATGAATCCGACGATGGTGACCATGACGAGCTGCCTGCTTCGTGGGGCAAGGTGCCAACCATAGATGAACGGCAAAGCGACACCGAGGATGACGACCGAAAAGCTTCTTCCGAAATATTTGGCAGCCGCACCGATGCTAGTGGAGAGTTCGAGGACCCCGACACAGACGCTGAGCGGACGCCTACTACGGTCCGCGTGCCACACATTCCGGAGAGGAACATGCGACGGACCAACAAGAAGCCACCTCTCGCTGCCAACTCGACTGTTCCACTCCACCCCATTCACTCCATGCAAGCTGCTTTTGCCGAGTCTCTCCTCGAGGTCACGGACGGGAAGCCAGCAGAGAAGCCCAAGATTCGGTTCGGAGACGCCAAAGCCCGCCGCGAGGAGCTCATAAGCCAGGAACGGGATGAAGAACTCTTGAGTGCTCAGTGGCGGTTCCGACCCGGCCAGCAGCAACATGAGCTCATGAAGCTCATGTCCCAGATCTCTTTTGGCGTCTACCTGTTGCTCAACGGCATGGCCAATAGTGCCTCCCAAGTTGTCAACATTCTTCAAGGTCATATTGACGAGGTTGACGAGTTCCTCGAGGTCACCATGGAGGACTTTCAGCAAGCTTCTGCCGATTTGAAAGAGCGTATCGATTACCTGCGACTACCTATGGAGAACCTAGAGGTCTTTGAGAAGCTTCTGGAGGATCGCAATTTCCGCCTTCAGATTGTTGAAGGGAACGAGAAGATTGAGCATATCCTCGCGCGCACGAACATGCAACTCGAGCAGTACGATCAGGATATTCAGCAAGGCCTCTCGTCTGCACGAGAATTTGCCGTCTATCTTTCGCAACAGAAAGATGGCTCGTGGCGACAGGATCGTCCTGACGTTGCCGATATCTACGAAGCCATGAAGGGGAACACGGAGGGTTGGTTCAACGCCTTTGCAGACTTGCAGGCTCAGGGTAAAGATCTCAACGCTCTTGTTGTTGATCTCAGCCAAATGGTGGCCGAGATGAGCAGCAAGGCGGGGGAGGTGAGCCGCAGGACTTGGGTATGTTTCTCCAAATGCGAAACCGATCTTTGCATTTCGACCAACGCAATTCTTTACTGACAAGTCCTGTGACAGGCCTCGATTCCCCCTTTCACCATTCCGCTATCAGAGACGCCAGCGAGCGAGGCGTCCCCAAAATCTCCGCAGTCCTCTATGCAATCATCCAGGAGCGGGAGGCAGTCTACTCGTCGCGCAAGCAGCCTTGTCGGCTCAGCTCCGAGCAGCTCGCAGTCCAATGCGCAACCCACATACTTCAATATTCCGATTGCGAAACATGAGGCCAGCACTTTACCTCATCAACCAACGAAGAGTCTGACCCCCAAGCTATCGCTCAATACCGTCGGGACCCTATCATCTGATACTGGTTCCCACCATTCCGACCTGGATGCTCAGTTGGATGCCGGCCCAGTGGTGGACGACGCGCCGCTTTACATTCTGCAGCCGCGCACGTACACCCCTCAGCCCCCTGAGCCGCTGCCATCGCCAATGGTTCGAGAACCTCCTCAGTTGGCAAAGGAGCCAGAACAGGGCCTTTCGAAGAAGACGTCTCTTCGACAGCGCGTTTCCATGAAGACGACACCACCAGAGTCTATCCACATTCCTCGTCCCCATCCCGCCGATTTCCAGCGACCACCCCAGGCAACTCGAACCCATCAATCACCAGACTCCGCCTATGGCTCCGACGACCAGCAGCGTCCGCGATATGGCACAATTCATGAGTTGTCGCCCCCGGCGCTGCCTCCGGTGGTAGCATCACCACGGTCCGAACATCATCAGTTTTATCGTCCCGTACAAGCCAGCCCCCATTCGCCCCTCCAGCAGCGCCCCCTGACAGCCGGCGCCTCGCCCCGAATGACATATCCATCACAACAGGCAGATTATCGCCCGGGTCATCAGCGTAATGCTCCGTCGCGAATGGGCGGGGCTAGCATGCTCAGCAACGTGACAACCATGACATACGACTCTCAAGCATCTGGCACTACGCCAAAGCTTAAGAAGAAACGCAGTGCCTTTGGCTGGCTCAAGAAGGCCTTTTCACTTGATGAAGAGGAGCGCATGGCTTATGAGGGCTCGGAAGCAGGCAGACCCTGCAGAACCCGTACTACGATGCACGTAGCCCCAAGTACCTGGATGGCAAGCGGGTTCGTTAAAGGCCACAAGTCGGAGGAAACATATCAAGTCAAAGCCGCCCACCGACCTTGACGACAACTGGGGGTGGATCAACGCCTGCCAGTGAAGCGCCCGCCGCAAGCCGCAAATGATACCCATCAATACACAACATACCCAAGCGAGCGACCTTGATTTTGCTTTGCAATCGAACAATACATCACGCCATCTTTAATACACGGCTGAGAAAGCTGTTGGGTAACGAAGCGTTCCCGACAGACTGTTGTCACCTCGCCCACCGACCCTATTCGTCACACTCTTTCTTGTTTGTTTTCGTATATCATTTCTATGATATGCCATGTCTTTGTCTGCTTTGCGGGGCAGAACTTATTCGTTATTCTTTTGCTAGGTGTTTGGCGTTTCACCTCATATTGTTTCTTCGGGTTTCATACGTAATTTACATCTGTCATGCGGCTACGGCCGTACTATTGTATGATACAATGAAAACGGAGAAAGGCGTGAGGTTTTTCAAGACTTTGCCCATGTCGTATCTTGAATATATCGATGATGATTAGACATACATAAATACTGTCTGCTATGCCGTTCCATCATGTTGATTTTGAACATCCAAGGCTGGATTTTGTCTACATGAGTTTTCCCAGTCTCCCTGTATGTCAGTCTAGTTTCGCCATTGGTCCTCGATGTAGTGTCTGGCAAGTGGAGTTCCGGCAGGTATAACGCCTTGCTACCGATCGCTTGGAACATTCGTGATCGTAGCTGACGATGTGCCAGCGGAGGGCGGCGCGTCTGGTGCCCCATTACAGCCCATAATCTGGAGCCTGTGAAGATGCTCGAGGCTCTGCGTGGCGTTGAATGGAACTGTCTAGATCTGCTTGAAGTCTGTATTACCTGTGCACGCTTGACTCAGCTGCGTCCTAAATGAGAGTGGAATCTTTTCGGTCCCTACGACTGTTCTCAGAGCCACAGTAACCCGGACACATGTTGAGGGTTCGCGATTCTTATCCATCCCAAGGAAAAACCGTCTTTTCCCACCTAGAACCCGGGTTCGACAAGGGCAGGTATGGTAACGTCCAAGCAGTCGAAGCGTCGCAGTACATAAAGATGGATTGTATTGTAGTGCAAGGAACTCAAGAAGATTTCAAAATGCCCCCCTCCCCCGCGCCAACCTGATGTCTAGCTATCCCGCAGACGCACGACCCCGTCATATCGTCCACAGGTGACCCAGTATGAGCCCCCCGGCCACGAAAGCCACAGCTGCCACCTGGACCGGCGATTCAAAGTCCAGAAACATCATCTCGACGAGCCCCTTGCCATTCCCCCGCCACGCCGCGACCCGACGCCGGAGGAGTCTCTTTCCCGCCACCGCCAACGCGACAAACGGGGCCGTGGCCATGGCGGCGAGGATGCCGAGCGGCGAGACGAGGACAGCGGCGATCAGGAGGATGGAGCCGTCGAGCCAGAGGCCGAGGTACATTGCGCGCGTCAACAGACTGTCGGTCGCGGCGCCGGTGACGGATGTGAATCGGTTACCGAACCAGTCGGAGAAGAGCATGATGGCGTGGATGCTCCCGAAGAGGTAGTAGAGCCCCAGGAGTATGAGGGGCATGATGACGGCGAGGTTCCAGGGGCTGTCCTCGGGTATGTTGGACGCCCACTCTATGAGGGGGTTGATGGAGATGGTGAACATGGCGTTGATGAGCGGTCGAAATATATGGAACTGGTCGTATTCATTTGTTTTCGTGATGTCTGGAAAGGACGTGTCGTGTGTGTGGGGCGATGAAGTATGTTTGTGCACTTGCTGATGGGTGAGTGAGATGGGATGCAAATGAGGGGTGTGAGGGCGGTTGCGATGACGGATGCCTCTGTCTGGTGTCTTGCTGCTAGTCGCAGTCTCAGAACTTGGCCTTGCGCAGCGATGTCACATGCGCCCACGTCTCATTCGCCCACGTCTCATTCGCCTCCCACCTGCAGAAAGGACACCAAGATCTGCCGAGAGACTGGCGAAGTCCGAAGAGGATGGCAGAGACGCCGAAAAAGCCAATGACGACCGAGCGCCAGGTTTCGTGAAGATCTCGAGGTCGGAAGGGGGCTCATTGCTCATCCTGATTGCGTGGCGTCTCAAAGGAAGGCTTCGTTGTGTATGACTTGTCATGGCTGTGATATCCATCATGCGTCGCTGTGTGCAGAGGCCCAGCCGAACCCTCACGAGCGTACGGGGCCAATGTGGGCTCATCATTCGTAGACAGCGCGCCGAAGACGAGGACCAGGTCGCTCACTGTCCCTTCCTCTCCTCAGCGACGTTCGGCTTCGTCTTCGTACCGGCGTCCTCGTCGCCGCCCATCCCAAACACTCCTACCCCCAGCGCGATCAGCGGCGCCAGCCCCATGGCCACAATGGCCAGCGCCGGCGACAGCACGACCAGCAGCAGCGCGATCCCGCACCCGTCGAGGTACAGCCCGAAGTAGAAGGCCCTCGAAAGCCAGGTCTTCAGGCCGCCGGTGCCACGCTCAGGCGACGGGCCGGCCACGGAGCCAAAGCGGCCAGTGTACCACTCGGTCCATTGCGTGATGACAAAGGCGGCGAGCGCAACGAAGGCGAAGGCGAGGAGGACGAAGGCGCCCCAGAAGACGGCCAGGACGGGGCTATCGGCTTCAATGTCGAACCACGTTGCGATCTCGTCGACGAAGCTCGTTGGGTCCTCCATGCTGGGATGAGGCAAGTCTAATGAGAGGGCTGAGTTTGTGCAAGGCGTAGCTTGACGGAAAGTAGATGATGAGTTCTGATGGCCTTGTCACCTGGTCAGAGAGAGAGAGGTGAAGGCCAGGTTAACACCGACTGCAAAAGGTTACCGGTCAGGTACGCATCTATGATCGAAGGGAGAACCTGGGTCGAAAGGCGTTCAAGTTCAAATACGCGGAATAGCAGTGAAATGTTGAAAAAGTTGGCGGGGTCTGGGGTAGGCAAAGAAAGTGAGCACACCCCCTGTATCTGGCTAACGTCACCACAAAAAACAGGCCTCGATCACTCAATCCATGCAATGCAAATGCAAGCCACGAGAACTTCAGACTCGCCAACCAACTGCCTACGTCAGGCATCCATCGCCCCCATGGCATATCCTCTTCTCAATATAAATATCAAAAGAAAAGTCAAAACATCACATCACGGCCATCAGAGCAGTATATTCAAATTCATACATGTCAACTCAGTCATTGTTCCAATCACCATGAGCACTGGCAAGATCTTTCCCCTTGCATACAAATGAGCGCGCATCCTCCCATTTCCTCTCTGCTTCTCGGGGTATCCTTTCTCCCCGTAATAATGCCAAAGCCCGTGCGTGCGAGCTGATCAACACCTTCCTTATGCATGCTTCGACCGAAACACCAAAAATACCGTCTCGCCAGTAACCGCAGCGTCCATCCCTAGGTACCAAGTCGTCCATTAACCCTATCCATAAAAGTCGTGTCCGCCCATCGAGGGGGTTCCAAAGAAGAAGATGAAAAGAGGTATCCCCCCCTCCCTCCAGCGCCAACTGGTAGGCAGGTGGCGGGAGCCCGGGGGGTATCAGACTGTTTATTGCGTCCTGTAGAATTTCTTGTAGAGAAGATGCAGGAGCAGGTTGACGTTGAGCTTGAGGTTTCCCTCGAAAAGGTTCATGAACTGATGCGACTCAAACTGAGCCTGCAACAGATCTTCGATGGGCACCTGTGCGCTTGCTCCTGGCATCTGTATGTGTCCGCGGGAACCCTCAATGGCGAACACGCCCACCTCGTCACAGCTGATGGTGAGGTTGATCTTGTCCCAGTCGCCAACGCCCGTCCAGGCGACAACCACGCCCTTGTCTGCCAGAGCGCGCGTGCTGTACTTGAAACTGCCAAACTTGGGAACGCGGCCGCTGCGCTCCAGCTCGCGTTGGTGGTTGTACTGCTTGGTAAACGGGACGTAGAATCGCTTCTTGCTGTTGGTGGAGAAAACTCCTCGTCAGTAATCTTCTTCCATTGCGCGACCCTTTCCAAAGTCTACTTACCCCTTGTTCTTCTGCAGCGTGGCCATGGCCGATTCGATGTAGTCGTCGTAGCTCTTGCGCTGCTGCTCCAGGTACTTGGCCTTGTCGTGAAGGTTGGACAGCGTCATGCGGACGCCTTCGATCTCGCGCTGCCGCTGGACCCGCCTGCGGCTCTTGGTGCGAATGTCGAGCGCGATGGCGTTGAGGATGTCCTGGTAGAAATTGTGCTTGGATATCCTGCCCATGTGCTCGAGCCTCATGACGTTCTCCAGCGCCGTTCGCTTGAGCTCGTGGTACGACATGCGAGTGACATCAATCATGTTCGCGTCCGAGTAGGCACCTCGCGAGCCCTTGCTCGAGAAGTCGTCCCGCAGCACCATCTTCCACCTGTGGTCGTCCTCCGGTGTGATGGGCTTGACGAGGACCTCGAGAAGGTTCGCACCAGACTGCACCCTGACAATATACAACACACATCGCTTCGTCTCCATGAAGAGCGCCTTAACCTCCGCATCCGGATCGTCAACATCGTGCAGCTTGGGCGTCAGGAACATCTGAATATCAGATGAGCCCGCAGCCAGCATCTCACTCTCGTTGCTCTTGGCACTTCCGAGGTCCTGCATGATCTCTCGGAGAATATCGTCCCGGTTGGGGCACACGGACGGCAGTTCGGCTGCGATTAAGCTGTGGATGGCGAAGATGTCCGTCATTTTGATGTAGAGCGTCGGCCTGTTCTTGGCGTACAGATCGTTGAATTCATCAATGTCAAATGTGCTCTCAGCATCGGGAACGGAGATGATCTCGTGCGTAATGTGGGCGAATCGATCGATCGAATCGCCCAAGAAGGCGTTCAGAGGCTGGAGGTAAACATTCTCCCCACCAAAAGGCCTCCCAGATGCAACCTGGCTGAGGACCTTGGCAACCTCACCCAAATTGCGCTTCTGGAGAGGGCTGAGCTGCTTCTCAATGACACCAACATTCTCGGGTGCGGTTACTGCGGGCTGCAGGTAGAATTTCCACAACCAATTGGTCACAAGTTGCAATATGTGATGTTGGGGTTCCTTCTCAAAGTGTTGGCAGAGGCTTTCAAACATGTGCCTACACAGGAACCGGAGACCATAAGGCATCTTGGCAAGGAGATCTTCAAGCGCAAACAAGAACTGGTCGCAAATCTCCCTGAGATCCCGCAGGTGGTCGATGAACAGATCTCGCGTCTCCTGGTCCTTGATAGCGACTTCGCGGGGAACATCCAAGGGACGATGGCTTGGCCGGCCGGTTCGAAGCTCCTCATTGCTGATGGCTGAGCGGTAGATTTGTAGGGGATCGCTCTCTAGGTCGAGGGCTGGGTCCTCGACGATATTGTCGCGAACCAACGGGCCGAGCAGCTCGCGGAGGTACTTTCGGTCTCGCGGGGATCGAGCGTAGTTGGAAAGCAGTTTTGACCAGAAGAAGTTGCCGCGTAGGTAGTCCTGCACGTCTCGTGTGCCGTCAATCTCCTCGCGCATCGAACGGGCGATCAGCTTCAACAGGTAGTACTCTTCTCTTCGCTTTTGGGCATAACCGAACAAGCCCATCATAAGGTGCTCGATACGTTTGCATTCCTTCTCCGGTGTACCCTGTTCTCGAATCCGCTTGAAAACCCTTGCAAGGTATTGAGGTTGTGTCTGGAGATTGAAGAAGAGCTGCTGGTAGGATTCCAGTTTCTTTCTGGAGCTCTTGTTCAGCGCCTTCAAGTCGAAGTGGTTGGCAGAAGAGATGGATGAGTTTGCTAGCAGACCGATAGAGTGGCTGCCGTAGTTGCTCTGGTGTCGTACAACTTCGTCCAGTGTGATCTTGTTCTTGACGAGCAGGGCAATCTTGATGTCGAGTTGGTCGATGTACTGCTCCAACATCTCGTTCTGCCGAACTTGTTGAACGACCGTCTTGCGCATCCGCTCGAATTCAATCTCCTCGTTGAAATCAAAGTCGCTGTCGTTGAGCAAATGCACAAAGTTCTTGACGGCGTTAACTGGCGGGTTCTTGCCTGTCGTGAGACTTTTGTAGGCTTCTCCCTGAATCTTCGCCCGGATAAAGCTCTGGATTTTGACGACTTTCTGCATGTTCTCGTTGAAGAACTTTTGCTTCTCCCTGTACCGAGCCCGAACAAGGAAGGCGTTGGCAGCTGCCTGAATGGCAATGATAGATTGCTCTTCCTCTTCAAGCTCAGCAATCACAAAGCCAATCTCCTCTCGAACCATCATAGCCTTTGCTAGAGCTTGCAGTTTGCTGATATCTTCTGCATGCGACTCGAGCTCTTCGAGGAGTTGCGTGTGTCGTAAGCGGCATAGGTGGCCTCGGATATGGCTTTGCAGACGAGTGATGGCAGGCTCTTGTTGTGTCAAGGCTTCCTTGTCGGCTGCAAGACGGCCTCGGGTTGCCATTGCACGTACGCAGGACTGCAGCTGAATATTGGCTCCATCGTTGCTAGCCAATGCCTCGAGCGTCTGAGCGACGTCTCGTCTCACGGCTCCAGCGCGCACAAAGGCCTGCAGCTGTCCGAGCTGAGGTGAGTGTTCCTTGAGCTCTGCTTTGGTTGAGAGAATGGCAGAACGGGCGACGTTGCCACGTAGCTTGGCTTGGAGCGCAGTCCACTGCGGAGCGAAGCCTTGAAGATGCTCCTGGTCGCGGGCGATTTGATCCCTCATCAGCAACGCCCTCGCAACCGCTTGCAAGTCGATGATGGCCGGGGCTTGTTGTTCGAGGGAAAGTTGATCCCTTTCAACCCGGCCTCGTAATAGCATGCCCCGAGCAGCAGCTTGAAGCTGCTGCACCTGACCAGATGTCTGTTGCGTTTCGCTTCTTTGACTGTCGAAGCTCTTTCGGACGAGATAACCCTTGAATGCCGCTTGGATGCCCCTTACAGGACCTTCGTGCATAGCGAGCTGAGATTTGGAGTACTGCACCTCATCACGGACCTTCTTAGCCCGGATAAGGCTCTGTAGTTCCAAGATATCAGGCTCCAAGCTCCTCCAGAATCGTTCTTTGTTGGCGAGTCGTCGTCGGACGAGGAAGCCGCGGGCTTGGCACTGCAAATTCACAGCAAACTTTCTCATCTGAAGCCTGTAGTCCATGATCTGACGCGTGAAGTCGCCACGGATTCGAGACTGCAACTCGATGAGAGCTGCCTCAGAGTTCCAGAGCTTCTGCATGGTGTCGCCTAGTTTCATTCGCAGCGCAGCGCCTCTGATTTGTGCCTGTAGCTCAATGATGGAGCCCTCGTTTTCGGCCAGCTCTTTGTCGATGCGCTCTTCTTCCGTCTCTTCCGGCTCGGGCTCGGGTTCAACGCCAAAGTCGGCACCCATATTGCCAAAACTGGGCATACTAACCCCGAGTTTATCGAGTCCTTTCTGCATGGCCTCGAGCTCATGGTGCTCAAACTCCAGCTGACCAACAAGGTTGCCAATGCGGAAGTCGACGATTCCTTTCCTGAACAGCAGCCAGCTGAGGGCGTGAATGCAATAAATGACCTTGGGGATGTTTTTCTTCTCGTACAAATCGATGAGCTCGAAGCGGAAGAGGTCGGGAAGTTCGACCTCGTCGAGATATCGGAACAAGATGGCGATATTGTCCGAATGTCGGTATTGCAGCCTTTCGTGACGGAAGATGCGGTACCGACGATCTGGGTTCAACGTCTCCACGATCTCAGCTAGAGTGACGCCGTCTCGCAAGGCCTCTTCCAGTTCCACAATGGGCGGAATGTCCCTGTGAATGACATCCTCAATCCACTCTTTGGCTTCGCCGACGTGGCAAAGGTATTCGTAGGCCTGAAGGAATTGTCGTTGTTTATCCATCCAATTCCTCCCTTCCCAGCCGTAACCGCCACTTTTTTGGCCTGCACGGCCCTTGTCTTCGCCTGTTCTCTGCAGCCTGCGTCGACCGCGTAGGCCGACGACCTCCTGTGCGGGAGATGTGATTTTGAAGTCGTCGGCAGAGTCGGTTTGCGCGAGCTTTGAAAGCGTGCGAAAGTGGCTTGTCGAGGACCTTCCAAAGCTCTGAAGATCGGGTCGTTCAAGTGGCGCGGCGTGCGTCTGGTGTGGGTGATACGGCGAGTTCGCGTGAGGCAGGGCGGCGCTGCCCACGCTGACCGAGTCGGATCGAGTCAAGAGCATAGAGTGCGGTCGAATCGGCGAGGGCCTCGAGGTGGGCGTTGTCGGCTGGGGGGTTGTGGCCTTGGGTGTTGTGGTCTTGGGCGTTGTAGCCTTGGGCGTTGTAGCCTTGGGCGTTGTAGCCTTCTTGGGTGTAGCTGTGGGCGTGGGCGAGCTGCTGCCATCGTTTTGCGAGAGTGAGAATCTGCCGACGTCGATGCTTTGGCCGCGGTCATGGCGATAGCTCGTCGGTTTCCGCTCGGGCGAGGGCGAGTGCGAGGATGCGGGTGACGGCCCGGCGGGAGCTTGGGGGAGTGGTCGTAAGGACATGCGAGCAATGTTGAAGATGTTGCCCTCCTCCTTCTTCTTCGAACTTGTAAAGACGTCATCTTCCAGCGGACGCTGGCTGAAGCGACTGACATCACTCATGCCCCGTTTGTGGGTGTGAGCGGCGGCGTAGCCGCTCGAGGCTGAGGAGTATACTGTACTGGCGCGACTGCGCTCGGAGAAATTAGAGTAGCCAGACGAGGCAGACGACGAGGCAGTCGAGGGTTGCCGGTTGACGTTTCCTTCTGTGTCGAGGTTTTGTGATTGCCGGAGCGGGTGTGTTCGGTACGACATGGTTGACGATGCCGAGCGTCGGTTAGGAGGTCGAGGAAAGTTTGCGCTGCAGGTTCATGTATTCGCGGAATTCGGATGACCACATGAAGGCGCTTTCGCTGGGAAGGCTCTGGGTCGATGTTCCTTGGGCTGAGCTAAGCAAACGATGCTGGGCCAGGGTCGACTTTTGGGGCTGGCTTGGAATGTGTCGAGGCGGCGGAGGATGCGGAGGGGTGAAGATTTGCTCTCTTGGAGGGTCAAGGTCGGAGGCAATGCCAGAGGCAGAGTTGGGTCACAACAATGTGGAGTGGCGCGTAGTCGGGGATCTAAGACATGGGCGCGCTCGGCGCGAGAGGGAGTAGGGACGAGGGAGCAGTGCAAGGAGCACGGCAGCAATGATGTTGAGAAAGAAATGAATCGTATGGGTTCTCGTCAATAACCTTATGCCCTGTACATGGCGGCCAGTTCGCGACCGTAATGTTAAAAGTGAACAAGGATAACGCAGGCGCAGGAGCAGGAGCAGGAGCAGATGGCAGTCGGCAGCTGGATGGCTGAGGGGTCCATGGATGTTGGGTGCTTTGGAGCAGTGAGTGCCGTTGCTGTGCTGCGTTTCTGTGTTTGTTTACTGCCTGATGTGGCTAGGCGCAGATGGGTGGGAGGAGTGGAGCGACCGCTGTCTGGTGCTGGCTGGCGCTGGCTGGCGGCGCTGTCTGTCGCAGGCCTGTTTTTTGCTAGCGCTGTTACGTCACGTCACACCGAGCCGGCAGCTACCGATAATGTGCCGGTGCTATGGCCTTTGTGCCTGCGACCTTCCTTGCCTTGACTTGATGTGTTTCGTTTCAACTGGGTCTGTTGGCAGTGTGAAGGCTGAATGAAGAGTTGCTGCTGCTTTGTCACTAAACCACCTAGGAAAGCTTCATTGGGCAGCCAGCGATGGCTCGTGATGTGGTGCCAAGCGACTGTGAATCCAAGTACTCAATTGACCAGGAGCAACAGCACAACACAGTATACCAATACATCCAGACCACCACATCAGTTCGTAACGTGTTGACTACGTTTCCACGTGGTTGGACGGGTATCCTGTGCCGTTTCTCATCTTGTTGAAGCCACGTCCAGAACAAGACGTGCTGTCAGGATAGTCACCAGTCCCTAGAAACTACCTAGGTACTGGGCTTCTGACAGCTCACGCTAATGACAGCGCAATGGGATGGGATTTCGACACTCCGGTTGGTCTAATGGCTACACCTCCAAGACTTCCTGCCCGCACATCATCAAGGCCTTTCTGCGACGTAACATCCTTGATGCATCAAGCCAGCTCTTGAACCCGGGGCGACCATGTGTCGGAAGGAATTTTTATACCTTTTCCCTGCTCACAAGTCACGGAGAGCAGAAGCGAGAGAGAGAGGGCTGGCGCGGTCATGAAGCAACCGGGTCATGGCAAAAGGCAAACATGCTTCTATCCATGACAGCCGTGCACAGGGCACACATCGCTCGCGTGGTGTGGGGCTTGTGCGCTGGAGGCCAGGCGAAGGCCAGGCGATTGGGCCCTACAACTCGCTGCTGGTCCCCCCCCCCTCCCCTGCCCCGCACCGCACCGAGTTCGGGTCAGTCAGCCCAAAATGTGCAGGGTCTGTCTGAGCGGGCCCTTAAAAAAAGTTTCCAGCGGGGACCAGACGAACTTTTTCTTCTCTCCTTCTACTGGGAAGAAGAGACCAACCGATCGCAGTCATTGAACGAGCCAAGCAAGCATCAGGACTTTGCGTGACGACAGCTTCTTCTTCCTCGCTGCCTTCTCCCGCTTCTAACTTTCTCCCACTCTTTTCCAATCCATCACTTTGCTCCACCAAAGCGAAGAAAGGAAAATGCCTGGCACCAACGGTACCCAGGGCGCCAAGGTGCTCGACCACGCCACCGCTCTCGATGTCCTCAAGGAGTACGAGGGCCGTGATGGTCTTGACATCACCGAGCTCATGGACACCAAGAAGCACGGTGGTCTGACCTACAACGACTTCCTGCTGCTTCCTGGCTACATTGGCTTCCCCGCCTCCGCCGTCAACCTCGACTCGCCTGTCACCAAGCGTGTCACCCTCAAGACCCCCTTCGTCTCCTCGCCCATGGACACCGTCACTGAGCACGAGATGGCCATCCACATGGCGCTCCAGGGCGGCCTCGGCGTTGTTCACCACAACTGCTCCCCCGAGGCCCAGGCCGACATGATCCGCAAGGTGAAGCGCTATGAGAACGGCTTCATCCTGGACCCCGTTGTCATCAGCCGCGACACCACTGTTGGCGAGGCGAAGGCTCTTAAGGAGAAGTGGGGTTTCGGCGGTTTCCCCGTCACAGGTCAGTCGCCCCTTTTCTCTCTGTTCGCTCGTGTCACCAGCACTCCCACCACCCTTTGTCGGCTTTCGATGATTAAAAAACCATGTCATAACTTTCGTTCCACCATACGTGACAACCATGTTGTCTTGAGGATATCTAATTAGACTATGAAAATAAGCCATTTTTTCCGTCTTTTACCATTTTTGCGCTATTTTGGCAAGAATCCGCAAAGCTAACCAAAGCTTTCAGAGAACGGCAAGCTCGGCTCCAAGCTGCTGGGTATCGTCACCAACCGTGACATCCAGTTCGAGGAGGACCCCGAGACCTCCATCTCCAACGTCATGGTGACCGAGCTGATCACTGCTCCCTCGGGCGTTGACCTGCCCGAGGCGAACAAGATCCTCGCCAAGTCCAAGAAGGGCAAGCTGCCCATCGTCGACAAGGAGGGCAACCTCGTCTCCATGATCTCCCGCTCCGACCTGAACAAGAACCAGCACTTCCCCCTGGCTTCCAAGCTCCCCGACAGCAAGCAGCTCCTCTGCGCTGCTGCCATTGGCACTCGTCCCGCCGACCGCGAGCGTCTCGCTCTGCTGGTCGATGCCGGCCTCGACATTGTCATCCTGGACTCGTCCCAGGGTAACAGCATGTACCAGGCCGACATGGTCAAGTGGATCAAGTCCGAGTTCCCCGGCCTCGACGTCATTGGCGGAAACGTCGTGACGCGCGAGCAAGCCGCGACCCTCATCGCCGCCGGCGTTGACGGTCTGCGGATCGGCATGGGCAGCGGCTCGGCCTGCATCACACAGGAGGTCATGGCCGTCGGCCGCCCCCAGGCTGCTGCCGTATACTCGGTCAGCAGCTTCGCCGCCCGCTTCGGCGTGCCCTGCATCGCCGACGGCGGTGTCCAGAACGTCGGCCACATCGTCAAGGGCCTGTCCCTCGGTGCCTCGACCGTCATGATGGGCGGTCTCCTCGCCGGCACCACCGAGTCCCCCGGCACGTCCTTCGTCTCGCGCGAGGGCAAGCTGGTCAAGGCCTACCGTGGCATGGGCAGCATCGACGCCATGCAGGACAAGAAGGCCGGCGGTGGCGGCAAGGACTCGCAGAAGAGCAACGCCGGCACGGCCCGCTACTTCTCCGAGGGCGACAGCGTCCTGGTTGCCCAGGGCGTGACCGGCTCCGTCGCGCACAGGGGGTATGTTCTCCCGCGCTCCACCACCCTCCGATCACGTTTGCTGACAGTTTCGACAGTCCCATCTCCAAGTTCGTCCCCTACCTCGCGGCCGGCCTCAAGCACTCGATGCAGGACTGCGGCATGCAGAGCCTGACCGAGCTGCACGAGAGCGTCGCCGACGGCACCCTCCGTTTCGAGCTCCGCACGTCGAGCGCCCAGATGGAGGGTAACGTGAACATGGAGTCCTACGAGAAGAAGCTCTTCGCGTAAGCCTCCTTCATAGTCGAGTAACACAACTCGTGGCAGTGGTAGAGTTCCCTCCCCAAGACCATACAGTAGGGGTGTATGGTGGTCGTTGGGGCGGGAAATGGTGGGCGGTATGATTTTTCTGGCGTAACGATTGGAAATGAAGCGCGTGTTGGAATACCGCAGCAAGGGAACGGGACGGGATGGGAATTTTGGGAACATTCTAAAACAAAAATTAGGGGATGTATAGGGAGAAGCCCTGACGCTTCTACGAAACGCTGCTTTGATGATATACCATGGTACACACAGAAAGTGCCGAGCGCTCACGCGCGCAATGAAAGTAATGAAAGTTTACGATTTACTACGATACATGCGGAAGCTCTGCCAGTCTGATGAGGTGTGCAACATGCGGCGAAATTATTCCTACGGTGCAACTCGGGAGGGAGAGTGTCCAGAGGCCAATATCGGCAACTTGGTACTCCTCCACATAGTCCCGCCAGCAGACGGCCTTTACGATGATTTGAAGCGCGTTGCGTGTATTATGCTACGTGTACGAGCACCTAGCCGTGTAGAACCAAAAACAAAAAAGTGTTGGCAATTTCATACTGACAAGTTAAACAGAAATTTTGAAGATCAGGCAATGCCGATTACACCTCGCATGCGGAACCGCATAGACTATGCTATATAACAAAAATCCTCGAACTAAACACACAAATCAAACTCGCTCATGATCCGTCAAGCAAGCGTAAGATTTCGCAGACTTACTTCTCGAGTTTCGTCAACTTCGTAGCGTTTCACGTCGTGAAAGCTCCCTCTCATCACACCTTTTGATTATCATTCTCCAACATCATTGCTTGCTCGTCGTGATCGAATCGTATCCAGCTCTCGGTGTCGTGCGGCCACTGCTACCTTCACGTCCCAGTAAAGGCTCATCCTCAGAGGAGTATTCGCCTTCCTCTCCTTCATTCCTGTCTTTGGCCGTTGTTACCACGTCGGAATCGTCATCTTCTAGCAAGGTCTCCTCGTCGGCCTCGTCGTCCGTGGTCTCCGTGCTGGGCGCGGGCCCGTCACCCTCGGTGAGCATCATGGCAGGAATGGCGCCGACCACAGCACAGAAGGAAAGAAGCCACCAAGCAGTAATAACATAACCCCTCTCCACACCCCAACTGAACGCGACGCCGGCGCCGGCCGGTCCGACGGCACGGCCCAGGCCGGAGAACATGGTCGCAAAGCCGTTGAGAGTGCCCAGAATGCGCAGGCTGGACGCCGAATTGGTGAG